TGTTGTTGTTGTTTGCCGTCGAGTCGGCCCCGACTCATAGCGACCCCTCCTTGGGTTTCCGAGGCAGTATCACTACGGAAGTAGGATTGCCCAACCGTACTACCTACTACTGCCTTATTTTAGACATTGTGTTTTGTTTGTTTGTTTTTGTCTCATACCTCTGCCTATTTTTAGTTTTGCCTCTTTAATTCCGTCTCTCACCTCACCCACACTGTGGCAAGCTCACCTGTAGGATAAAGCCCAGCCTCCTTAGTGTGGTGTACAAGGCCTTCCATGCTGCAACCCCTGTACTTCACTGCTGACACTGCTGCTTTGCAGTAAACAAGCCCACACCAAGCTGTTTGACATTTGCCTTTGCTTGTATGTGTTACCTTTCTACCTGGAATACTCCTCGTCTGTACTAACCTACCTTCTTTGCCTGTGAATTCCTGCCTTTTGAGATTCTGCTTTGGCCTCTCTCTTGGATGCCTTTCCAAATTTAGCCCTTAATCTCTGCACACCCTACCCCCTGCCTTCTCTAGTCTGCTCTGTGCTGCATAGTCCCTTGTCCATACCTCAATTACTGGGCTTCTTATTTCCAGAAGACACATGTTAATTTTCTATGTACTTGTCAGATTTTGTGTTAGGTGCAAAGAGAACAGATACTGTTCCTGTCATAATTTTTAAAATCTTTGTTTCATTTTGGTAAAATATATATAACAAAATTTTCCACTTTAACATTGTTAAGTATACAATTCTCTGGTGTTCATTTTATTTACAGTGTTGTACAAGCATCACCACCATTTATTTCTAAAACTTTTTCATTATCCCAAATAGAAACTCTGTACCCATTAAACTCTGTACTCCCTACTCCCACTCCCCAGTCTTGAGTAACCTCTAATCTAACTCTGTCTCTGAATTTGCTTATTCTAGATACTTCATATAAGTGGAATCATACACAGTGGTGTCACTAGGGTTGGTGTCACCCCTGCCGTAGATCTCCCATACCAGACCAACTTGGTACTGTTCTTTTTTTTTCAATTTATAAAGTATTTTATGTTTTAAATTTATTTTTTAATTTTTTAAGTTTGTTTTATATTCAACATTTCATGTACATTTAGTTTCACTACCCATTTACCATACCCAGCTCTAACCCAATCTCTTCCCTGCCCAGTAATACCCACTCCCTGCTCCTGTGTGTCCTGCATTTCCTTCATGCAAATGTTGCCCCTCTGGTGCCCCATGGTCGATTGCTCCAAGGGATGCATCTCCATAGAGTATGTGGGTGCATCATCCTGGGTTGCATGGTCTGCGTGTACAACTTGTTTA